TGCAAAGGCTTTGAATATCTATTCCTGCTTGTACGACGTGTGAGCTAGCCATCTCCATCCTTGTCGTGTGGTGAAGTCTAATCCTACAGATGTGTTCTAGATTCATTTAGACCGCATTGAATTAAGTGCTGGTCGTCCTCCTTGTGGCCTCTGGCAAGCTCGTACTTCACCCGTCTATCTGTGAGAGATAGGCGAAGTAGTCAAACTCAAGATAAACAACTATTATTCCAGTCTCCTCACAAACTCGTGCCCTCTTCCAGCGCCCCTCTCCCATTCACCTACTGGAAATATCGCCACGGTTTCCGCCGCGAGCCGCCTAATTTGCAACCAACCCCCCCCCCACTCCAAGAGCAAAAAAATGCAACTCCCTCGTCTGAACAGATTGAACAGACGGTTGAACCTGCGTACGTACTTACATTGGCTCGTTGAAGAATGCTGTTAATGAACTGGACATTGGACGTTGTGCTACGCGGTGGCCATCCGTAGGATACCTGGAAAACTTCCTCTCTAACTGTACTCCTTTTACAAACCGACCTTTCCGGAATATGGAACTTATTTCGCCGTTCTCCACGACCATTTTCATGGGTTGCTAAGATTACCTGAATCCACACAGATTTGACTGTAATATTCGCGTCCAAAAGAGCGCTGTACACCACTGCCAGTTGTTCAGCGCCGGTTTTCGCTGGATTGGGGAAAGGGGACATGTACACCTCAACGTGGAATCCAGCTGAAGAACAAGAATGGCTGGCGAAAAGCTGAGGAAGAGAAGTGTTCGGAAAGCGCTAAGCATGTTTGCAAATCTCGTTGCTTACCAGAAGTGTACGTCGGAATAGTGGCGATGGCCCAGTCATAGAGACAAGTTCCGTTAGCTGTACCTTCATAAACCCTGCAAAACAAGAATTCACGAATACCGAAGATAAAGAAAACAATAACAGTAGCGGTAGTCGGTGATTTCGCCTTGCTGAGTGAAAATATTGGCAAATGCGACAATGCTTTTCATAAAGTTGCGTGCTGGAAAACGGAGAGATTTTTTTCACTATCACATTTCTTTGTTCTCGTAGCTACAAAGTAGTGGTGGGAGCCAGGTGAAATGTTGAAATAAGTTTTTCTAGTAATTTTGATAATTCGACAACCATGCCTGACAACCTTGAGCACCACGGAAAGCCGGGTAGCCCTCACCGGAGTGTAGCCGTAAA